AACAAGTAACCTATAATTGCATGCCCTGCCCTAAGAGGGAAAGGGATTTCAACCAGTTTCTTATAGATTGTGCTCTTTGTTTTATGACCTGATAGGTATAGTTCCATGATCAATCATAATAAGCTTCACACTTTAAAATGAGGAGTTTGGTTTGGTTTATTTGGCAAATTATTTAAAGGCAACATGTGACTTGGATTCTGTAAATGCTGTGTTGTGCTTTTCATGCTGTTGGAATTTGACAAGCGGCCTTTATGCAACAATTTCTGTTCCTCATATCCAGTTTGCACTGGTCATACACATACTTTTACATTCTCTTGTTCAGGATCTGGCAGCATCTGGTGGAGATTGTGAAAGATGGACAGGTATCCGTGATCATCACCACACATTACATAGAAGAAGCCAGGCAAGCCAGCGTGGTGAGATTCTTGTTTTGGACTGTTGTCGTCTAGTGTCATTTTTGTTTTTGCTATGAAAGGTACAAACAAATGTTTCACATTTTGTTCCTTTTTTGGGATTTAAACATTCTGTATTCTGATTTACAATGTGAAGGTCTTGTTGTTAGCATAACAGGTCTGTATTATATGACTGCAACTTGGACCATGGAGGCCTAACAACGGGGCTTTGAATTAAAACTCTAACGCAGGCGGCTGGCAGGATGCCAGAGCTGAGTGTGCTGATTCCTGATTCTGTGAACCCACTTGTCTGCCAAAAGGAATGTCAGAGAAATGATTCTCTCTGGTGTGTCATGTCAGTCTGGGCAAGACTGCAAGTTACTTGGATACTTGCTTGGATAAGTGACAGGGATATTTTGTGCAAGGCCTTAAATATACTTATGATGGACCAAGCGACTGCTTATTGTGTGGCGCTGAATGTTGCAAAAAAGTACAATTCAGAACTTTAATTGGGAAATCTCAACTAATTTCATTTAATACTTCTCAGAATCCACCAGTCTATGACATTTGCACAAACTCTGAGTGATTTGTTATTGTGAAATACAACCCCTGGCACAGACCCAAGGAAAAATGTGAGGCGCTATAGCTATCCTCTTTTTTGTTCACTTCACATGAAGAAGGAACTAGTGTAAAGACTCAAAACAGGTTTTGGAGCAGCTTGTAATTGCTGAAATGGTGATAATGAAAGGAATTTTCCCACTTACTAACTTTACATTCTTCTTCTGTTTTCCCTTTATATGCTTGGTGTTCTAGAATGTTAATTTTTCTGTGAAGTTCTTTTTTAGACAAAGAAAAATGTTTGTGGTTTTTCCACTTCCACTTTACGCTATAACCAAACTGAGTTTTATATAGTCTGAGCAAGTGGCAGGAAGTGAAAAGGGCAGGACTGTATCTCAACACTTTTAAACCTTAAGTGTTGCTGGTGAAAAGGCCAATACTATTAGCAAAGCAATCTTGCAGAAAAGGTAGCTGTTAACATGATTTACTTCATGGGCACATGTGATACAATTTATTTTTTCAAAACTTACACCTAGAATTTTTTGGGGGGAAATTTAGATAAAGATATGAAATCCAAAAGAATAAATCAAGTCTATAGTTCCACCAGTATAGGCTTCCTGCTAGCAATAAAATATCTTGAGAAACATAGTGTGGGAACACAGTGTTTAATTGGCTTGAAGCCTGCTTCAATTACTGTGATTGAGGCTTACAATTCATACTGGAAAACAGAAAATATTTTCTTTTCTGTCTGAAATGTGCTACCTGATGCTAGAAATGACTGTTTTCTGAACTTTGAAGACATGAAATAAGTCATGACTTTAAATAGCATTTTTTATGAGTGCTATTATTTTTGAGGGTGTATAAATAAATTGCAACACTAGCATTTGAGAAATCCGTGGGTACATAGATAAGCATTTTATTGTATAACATACACTAGTTAAAGTCCCGACAGAAGCTATAATTAAAAAAAAACGTTCACTTTCAAAAGCTCATAAATTATTCCTTTAAATCTACCATGCTTAGGTTTATTTTCGTACAAGTCCTAATTCTCTTTTAAAACGCACAGATTATTACATATTTGTAAAACAACAGAAACTTTTCTGGACTAAAACCACAAATACCTCCTTTTGAATTTTTTTCTCTTCTGTTTGTTTTGAAATACTTACAGAACTGGTTTTTGCACTCTCTATGTTAGAGGCGACAGAGTTTGAAGTATGTGAGTAGCTAAGGCATTGCATGAAAGAATTTGTGTGTGTATTTCATCGAAAAGTCCGATGAAACGAAGCAGTTCTTCCATCTAAATGGCATCCTGCCCTCACCTTGCAGTCCCAGATTCTGAAATCAACAATCTAGGCTAGAGGTGAAATCTTTAGATAGAGCTCTTGCTGTCTTTCCTCAGGTGGGTTTAATGCGTCACGGAAGACTGCTTGCTGAAGCTCCCCCAGATGTGGTGATGAGGCAGCACTGTGCCGTGGTGGGTATCAAAAGGAATGTGGCCTCACCTCACCGCAACCACAGGCAGCCAGTGTAACTGTACAGTATGTGAGCTTCAAAGTTCACAGATGGGCAGGCTTGAAAAAAAAGGAACAGTCTCTCAACAGCACTTGTTAGGACACGCGCCTTCTTGTGTAGTGAGGCAGGACAGCTTCTGAGATCTTCAATCTAGACAGAGGTGGGGGAAGCCTTTTGAGTTTTTTTCCACATATCTGCCCGGTGCTACAGCCAGACAACCTCCCTCGCTGTCCTCCAGCTGGAGCACAATGAAGAGTGTTTCTCTGTCTCCCCTCCTCCACCTGCCTGCCCCAGCGGAGGCTGTGTCTGCTGGAAACAGATGAAGGGAGCTCCTGCCCAGAGTCCACAAGGAGTCTGTCAAAGTCACCGTGTCGGGCCTGCCTCTCCCCGGGTGGCGGGTGAGGCCTGCGCACATGGAGGAAAACCCATGATGGAAAGAAAAATGCTTTATTTAACAAGGTTCTTCACATTACTGTATATAAAAGAAAACCTACTCTACAATCCAACACCAGCTACCACAGTGAATTACTTTATACACCAAACCTAGTCTAAATTAAAACCACTGGAGACTGTGCCTCTAAGCCTTCACCAATTACCTGATTAATCAATAAATTCCTGTTTGCAAAAAATCAGCTGAACCTTTTAGCCCTAATTAAGTCTTGCCTGTCTCAGTCCTATTTCCTGTTACTTGATCTTCAGGTAGCCTACATACTTGACTCATTTTTCCAAATTTTTTGTTGATCCAGTTTGTCTGGAATTGTCTGGTTGTCCTCTGGCTGAGATACCTCAGCTAATACTTCTTGGCCCTGTTGTTTGTGCAAGAAGAAGCTGTGCCAGTGATACACTTTCTGAGGAATGCATAAATGATGCCTTCATATCTCCCAGCCATTGCAGGGGGGCTGAGGCATGATTGTCTAGACCCAACTGAAGGGTGTAACAGTGGGAAATAGTTGTTATTTTGAAATTGATAAATACAGGAAAAGACAGCATTGGATTTTACAACTATAGAATTGTTTTTAAAAAAATCCTGACCTGACTACACGCATTTCTGTCTCCACTTTTGATCAATTCTATATTTACCAAACTCACAGTTGTTACTTCTGGTGAACTGTCTCGTAAGTCTGTCTTCAGAACACAAGTGCAATTGCAGGTTTAAAAGGAAAGTTTTAAAGGTGTACAATACATGCGGTTCCAGCTCACTAGTCAGGACTGGAGTTAACAAAAAAACCCATTAATTTCAGACCCTGGAGAGCGCTTTCCTCCAACTGTGCGAATCGTCCGACCAGACATCTTCAAACCTGAACATCGGCCCTGAGGGAAAGGACAAAGAGGCCAGCCAGTCATCTGAGGACTCGAAGGATGAGTGTCGGCCCATCCTGGGGAACATGCAGGAAGGGGATCCCAGGTTCACAGGTACTCTTACCACCACTTAGAATGTTTTTCTCTTTTCTTCTAGAATTGTCTTGAGTTCTCCAGTTTCACTTTCCTGCTTACTTGACATTGTGATAGAATATTATTTTCTTTAAAAAGATTTCCAACTTAAGTTCCATTTAAGCATGTAAAAAATACAATTAGGTTTGGCCAACCGATGATTTTGAACAAATGGTGATCAGTGACAGCACCAGATACATAGTGAATACTGAGTTAAATGTGTGTCATTTTAAAGAGTGATCAACATAAATTGATTAGCAGTTTATTTGTTCTTGCTTATATCCGTCCCTCTCCCATGCATCATAACTTTAAAACAAAGTGAATTGTATTTTGCCATATGAGCACACAGTAGACAGAAATCAAAGCTGAGATGCAAAGATTTAGACTCCACCAAGATGAACGTTTACTGCCAGCCATGTTAAATCCTGAGATGAAGCTGCTCTCATTTCATCATTCCCTGACTGCTGTTTCTCCGCAGTGGACTGGAAGGTCCGGGCAAGACAAGTCTTGCCAAAGTGCAGGAACATCTGGGCTCTGATGATCAAGACATTTGTGAGGATGAAGAGGATGCCAGGGTAAGCGTCAGCACTGCCAGCGTTATGAGCTTACTACTCTGTGGAAGTGTGTCGCAAATTTACCATGTCCGGTCCTTTCCATTTAAAACAAATCAAATGATCAATGATGTACTCATTGTAGGTACATAGTGTCCTTTATTGCTGTTCTGTTTAAATTCTGAATTTTAACTTGACCTTATGTCACACAGTGACAAAGGCCACTTGACCTTTTGGCAAAATTCAATCCATGCAGTGACTAAGGATTCACAAGGACAAACAATCACACCTGAATGACTTTGCTGCGTGTTTCTTCTTTGCGGTTCTTGTTGTCATTGCACAGGTTCCTCTGTTTCCAGTTCCTCTTGCCAGTGATCCAGATATCTCTGATGTGCCTGTGTATCGGAGGGGATCCCAGGGGCATCCAGGTGGCAGTTGTGAACAATGAGACGGGGAATAGCTCCTTCAGCCACTCCCTGCTCTCTTTCATAGACAACACCACCGTGCACCAGGTCTGTCACTTTCGACTTTCTCATACAGTACCAGCACTGCCTGGTCTAACAGAAAGGCACTTTACAACTGCACTCCTGATGAAAGGGCTAGAAAAGCTGGACCGCTGTCACGTATACTAGCGAAGTATACCTCCAGTTGTGCCGTCTCTGAAATCTGTCATTCAAAATGGAGTCTGTACATAGGACACACCTCTTTGTGTTCACTCCTTAAAGAGCAAAGCACTCAGGTCAGAATGAGATAGGATACTGAAAGTCAACACCCTGCTAGAGCTCTGAATCTTTAATGCTCTTTCTGAATTCTGTTTCAGTTTTGCTGATTTTGATAAAATTAGGGAAGTTGAAAGCGTGTTTCTCTTTACACAAATTATTAATTTACCCTGCAAAAACGGCTAGTTCTTTTGTCTTCTAGTATAATATTAATAAATGAAACAGACCGGCATAACCATTTCTGAATCTGGCAATCAGCTAAGAAAGTCTTGTGCGTATAACACAAGGCTTTTGGTCAATATTTTTTAAACGTGAGCTTGGGATGAAGCTCATGTTTGAAAAGTATAAGCATAAAAGAAGCAGAAGTGCTATAAATACCTCAGAGTTCAGGAAGGGTCATTAACAAGCCTCTTCCAGCAGTGTCTGGGTGAGACTAATTGCCTGGAAAGTTTCGAATGTACAGGAGTGTATGTCCATCAGAAGTGTGACAAAACCAAACCAAGTAGTTGTACACCAATTAGTGCTACTTTTATTAATGCCAGGTTAAGGAAACGATCATTAGAACTAAACTAGATCATTTTATGAATCGCAGTAAGATTCTAAAAGATAGTTAACACGGATTTAGGAAAGGTACTGTAGGTCTTGTTTAACTAACTTGGCAGAGCACTTTGAAGAATCAACTACAGTTTTGGGCTCACCCAGAGCATATGACTTTCTTAGATTTTGAGAAAGCTTTTGACAAAGTTCCTCATAAATAATTAATTCTGTAACTGCCGATAATATGCATTGAAAGAAATACAAGTACGTGAATTAACAAGGCTGACACCTGAAGAAGGCTCCACGGCCGAAACGTTGTGTTCTCTTTCTTCTTTTTTTCAGCATGGAATAAACCTATTACTTTTTCCTTTGCAGCCTACGCATGCTGACGCAGCTACCCACATGATAAAGAGTGTACAGATTTGAGTCAAATGCTAAAACTAGGATAATATTATTAGAGGAGTACCTCATGGATCTGTTTTAGAACCACTGCTCTTCCTTATTTATATACTGTAAGTGACCTTGATTATGATATAGTTTGTACAGACCAGGTACAAACTAGTTTGTAGATGATAATAAAAGAGGAGGTGAGCAAACACAAGTGAAATAGCAAAGGAAATTCAAAAAGACCAAAGTCAAGACTGGACAAGCATCTGTCAGCTGTCTGTTTGATATAGACATTCTAAAGTTAGAAAACCTTAGAATTTAAGTCAAGAGATGATATGTTAAAATCATACAATGCACTAAAAAGACATAATTTAGAATACTCAGTTACAATACAATACAAGAAGATCTCCTTGGTATATATTCCCAAGCACAAAGGAATGTCCTAAATTGGCAGACTAACAGAAGAAAGCTTTTTAATTTTGGACAGAGGCAACTATGAGGAGCCCTGATTCAAGCATTTGTTAATGAGAATCACTTTTTAAACAAAGGGTAATAGGAGTTGGAAGCAAACTACCCCACCATTTTGTGGAAGATGATATCCTGTGTTCTACAGCATGATGAGGTCCTCAGATCAGTTAACTGCTTAAAACAAATTAATTAGATGGACCACTGGCCACCTCTCATTTGCAGTCATTCTTCTATTCCTATGTGCTGTACAGTATTCTCCATTATTCTAAAGTAATTTCTTGCATGTGGTGAATATAATACTTTGTTCCTGATGTTAAGGCCCTAACTTGTGGCGGTAGAAGATTTATTCATGAAAAGTGAATTATTTGTGATCTCCTATGGTATTCTGTAGAATCCCAATCTCTTTTCTTTTGCAGGTGATAGTACAGCAGTCAGAAGCCTTTACTGGAGTCCGAGATGGAAGGTACTGGGGTATAATTGGGTTTGGTTCCAACTTCTCCACGGATTTAATGATGAGGTAAACTTTGGGATACATCTGTTTACTTTTGCCTTCTTGTGTTGTATTAATTTTTAATACTTTAATGCTTAAAAAAATGTTTTTCTGCATCCCCAAATTTAGATTTAGTGGTTAAAAGACTTTAGAAGAAACTGTTAAGCTAATCAGAGCTAGATATGGAAATTTCTAACTCAAATAAATTGTGAGCAAGATAATGTTCACATATTATGGTGTCCCACCCAGGGTGTGTCCTGCCTTGTAGGATGGGCTCCAGCTCCAGGGATAAATGGATATTACTTTGAAGGATCCTTATAGAAAGCTCACTTGATGTGAGACATTTAAAGTGTCTGCCTGGTCTGCGGTCGACAGACATGTGACTTGAGGTGGCTGTGCTGAGTCAGTATTGTAAAACAGATCTCAAACTCTAACTCATCTGGTGGGGCAGAGTCACAGAGTTTCCATACATGCTGCTAAAGGACAGCTGTTCCATTCACCCTATCCTAATTTCTTAGCAGCACAAATCTCAATATTGTCCTAGAATTGTACAGAGACGAAAAAGAACACTTGTAAATTTCAAACAAAACGACATTATTATGGAAAGTGAAAACCTAAAGGTACAGTAAATGTGTTAAATATCAATAGAGCTTTAGCAAAATTGGTCAGTTTGCCATGGTAGTTTTTGTTATCAGGGCATGTTGCTCGGGAAAGCAAAAATGTGTTTTTTTATAGAACTTCCCCAAATGTCGTTTTAAACATTGTATTACCTTAGTTACTGTTTTGAACATCATTTTCAGATTTTCCTCATTTTGAAAACAATAACTTTACAAACTACTGGATTTCTAAAGGTCTAAAGCTTCATCCTGTAGAAAATGCGAAATCACCTTTTTAAAGGCTGGGCCTTTACTAGAAATTCCCTTTACGCTCCACCAAAGAAGAGACATTAAGGAAACCTTACATGCAGAGGACAAACCACATCAGTGCATGGCTTGCCAGCTACTGTGCAGCATTGCAAAGGCTGGGTGGAGGTTTTTTTTTCCAGTTCACAAGCCTGGCATTTGCATGATATGCACCCTAGGTAGCAAAATCCGTCTTTGTTTTTAAAAATGCTGTAACTTGAGAGCCTTGTCTTCAGGGTATAATGTCAAAATACTTCACGCATAACATGCACTGGCAGAGGAAATTCAAGTCTAGCCTGTTCAAAGCTTGCTGAATCTGGGCAGTACATTCATGATTTACCTGGGTCAAAATACAATAATTAAACACCAACCTTAAAAATGGAAGAACAAAAGCACTGGACTAAATAAGTTCGTGGAGCATACTTTTCCATGGAGAAAGCTCTCTCTCTTTGCCATGAAATTGTTTGAGATATTTTCTGGGTCTGTTTTGTCTGTCTTGTACAGAATGCTACAGAAGAGTGTTACTAAGCAGGTGGTGGAAGGTGGGACTGTGCACGTGTGGCTTGACATGACAAGTAAGTGTTTGTGACATACTCTCCCTCTGGGCAAGAGAGCACTTTAATGATGTGCATAGTGAGGATAGAAAAGATCTCTGCCATGCTGCAAACATTCAACTTTCCACATGGTGGCAATGTCTCCTTGAAACTCGGAATTGGCGTCTTATTTTGATACAAGTACCCGTTTTTATATTGCTGCTAAAACATGCACTTTGTGATCCTGCTTTTATAATTTACATTTTGAGAAATATACATATATGTTTCATCTTATAGTATGTTCATTTCAGTAATGTATATATTTGTTATATTTCTGTGAAATTACTTTTTGCTTAGCACAACATGTAAATAAACTGATTACTGTAATTTCCTTGTTCATTTCTTCTTCTCATTTAAGACAGACAGATCGCTTTTATGCTCCAAAAAAAGCTTCAGGAAGCGTTTGAGGTTTGTCAACTTTTTTTTTTTATTATTCTGCTGAAATAATAGCAATTTAAATTGCATCCTACTCTGCGTTTAATTTTCAGATCAAGTTAAATAGTGAGAAGCTTTATCAGCAGTTGAATTGAAGATTAATTTTAGGTAGGTCAGACTGAGGAAGCTCCTGCTGGAGTTTAGCCAGGACCCCAGAGCTGACACCCCTTACAGACAATGCCATTGAGATCTTTCATGACCAAGCAGTCAACACCTCGGTTTAACATCTCATTCAAAGGCCCACTAATGCCCCACTGTCCCCAGTCTTCATACTGGACTCTTCATTGGTTTTGGACATTCTGGGAATGTGCCATGTGCAAGTCTGCCTACATATCTCACAGCATATCGGCTTTGACAACAGAGCTGGGTAGCTAGTGTTACACAAACACTTAGAAGCCGCTTTGTGGCTTCAACATGGTTTTCCATGAATTGAAGTGAGAAATCCTTCCTACCGTGAAAAGGGTGCCGGTAAATGCCCATACAATGAAAAGTATGTTTCTCTTTCAGAGCTTTGTCCAGGATAAACTTGGCACACTGTCTTATCTGGTGTCCCTCCCTGTAAAGGTAAGGATCAGTAGTGATTGTGTCTCCCTTCACTGTCTCTTTCTGTTTATAAGTTCGATAAGATGTTCATATTGATACTTGGCAACATGGAAATAGAGGCACAGAGAAAATCATAGTAAAACTACTAACCTTGGGTCTTTGACAAGCTCAGGAAATGTTAATTTAAGATATCAAATGACTGTGGATTAAATGGATTAAATATCCTTTATGCATTTATAACATCTCTAATGTTTATTTGTTTTACCTATAAACATTGAGTAGACGTTTTTCACTGAAAGTGCAGAATCAATCACAGTCAAAATATACCATATTATTCTCACTCCTGTTTGACCCTGGATCTAATGTTTTGGACTGTTTCCATGTCAGATTCTTGGCGCGGGTGCCAGGTTTTAAACCAGAGGCTGTTTAACCTTTCTGTATCTCGTGCAGTTTGAAGAACCTATATATGGCAGCAGCAATCCTGATTTCACTAGCTTTGTGACACCTGGAGCTGTGCTGAGGTACGAAATCCTTAACTGGGTGCATTCAAAATATAAAGGGGCACAGGAGCGGCTCGATCATGAGAGGAGCTCACTGCGAGCAGTGGGGTGGTCATATGATTCAGACATCACGAGTCTGAGTCTGGGTCAGGTCAGTGCCTGACTCAGCGCTAAGGGTGGCGTTAGTCACCCCGGTCTCTCCCAGCTCGCAGCCAAACAGTGACTCCCTCTGGCCTCCTGGGATCCCGCGGGCCTGTTGTGACCTTAGCAAAGGGCGCAGCAATTGTAGCCAGTGCCCTGGAACGACATGGACTCTTTCCCTTGTGCCATTTGTAGCTGTGGGCCAACATGTAAAGACGCAATTCTAGATCAGGTAGTTATATTTGAAAACATAACACTTCTAACCTCTATTTAGAAAGGCACTAGTGCACGTGCTGCACAGAAAAATCATACTATGGTTTGTCACACATTGTATATTGTCATACAGAGAGTGTTTTCCAGTTAAACAAGTAGAATAGGATAGAACACTGACTGTAACATTTCCACAGTTGCCAAAGCCTTGTGTTCTCTTGGCAGTATCACCTTTTATTTGGCGGTGGGCCTGACAGCGTTGTCCTTTGTGACAGAGCGCAAGGAAGGGCTGCTGGACAGATGCTGGGTTGCAGGTCAGTCAGTGGTACCTCTACTGTTCCTCTCAAGTGGGTTGTTATGACGGGAAAATAAAACCTTCATAATTAGAAAAATGACCCGTAGTGTCTTGTGCATGAATAGGCAGACTCCGGTTTGGGATAAATCGGGTGAGAACAGAAGAAACACTTGTTAATGAATCATATTGTTATAGTCCTACAACAGTAGAAGTAAAAAAAACAATGTAGTGTAATGTCACATGCCTGCCAGGAGAGGGCGTCTCGGTTTCAAAGCCAGTTGTCATAAAGGCACTTCTGAAGAATGTGTAGCAAAAGGCACACTGAGAGAGCAGTCCATGGCATACTTCCTGTGTTTGGCATACTAAGCTGGACTGGAGTGTGGAGCTCCATTTTGACTTTGATCCCAGGCCTTGTTCCTGGATCATGTTACAGAATATCCACAAAAACAATCAACATTGGTATTTATCAGTAGTAATGAGATCTTGCAGTTAGATGGATGATCCTAAACAAATTTCATCATTTTACCAGAATCCATTAATATAAATAAAATAAAATAAAATAAAACAAAAATCTCTCTGCTCCTTCAATACAAAGCCACATGCACATGCTCTATTTTCATCCTGCACAAGGATTCTTAGAGACTCCACACGACAGCATGTAGGCAATATGAAGCAAGACATTTTTTGAATCAAGATTACTCTTTAATTTTAATGCAGCCTATATAAACAGATTTAATATTGTTATTCTGACACATTAAAAGAGTAACACAAATCTGCAGATAAAATAAGCAATAATTTTGTCAGTCATTATAATAACTGGAAACCCAGTAAATAAAATGTACATATTATAAATATATAGCCAACTTGTATAATGTATAGTTCATAATATAAACAGTTTAGATTATGTAATTCCAATAGAACTGCAGGCTTTATGAGCACGAGAGGTGGCTGGGCATGATTGTCACTGTTCAGTGTTGATGATGAATAGCAGTGTTTCCCAGCCTTGTCCACCCTGTGGCACACTTGCTTTAACACAAACATAATAACATCGTCTCCATATGACTTGTGAAGCAAAATGCACCACTCTAAGCCAAAGGGACTTGCTCACACTTTCAAAACACTGCATGGTTTTGTCTGCTGCCTGTTTTCCTCCCAAGTGGGACATTGTTATTGTTTCTAGTCTCACAGGACGTCTTGAAACAACCGGCCACCTGACCATATTGCACTTTTATCAGTATTGTTTCACTGAATGACCTCCGAAGCTGCACCTTTCCCTTGGGGTGCTGTTGTCTAGGGGCACATGAGGGAGGCAGCCGCCACTAAACACTAAACACTGGCTGAAACTGAAATGGGGTCAGGCTGGTGTTAAGGTGTTGGACTTAAGACCTTAAGTCAAGTGGGATCTGAACAATGAAAGTTGATTTATTCATTTTTCTCGGGTCCCAGTATTTGGTGGGACGAGTGCTTATGCCTGACAGCACAGCGATGGAGAAGCGTGTCTATAGAGAAGGGGTAATACTGTCACGAGTGAGCTCGGGGCTCACAATGCAAACCGACCAGACTGACTAACTCTGCACTTCTCACCCGGAGGGCCTCTGGGTAATAAGGGAGGGGAGAGATTCCGCCTGACGGCCTGATGTCTGTCTGTCCTGCCCCAGGTGTGAGCTCGCTGGAGACCATGCTGGCACACCTGCTCTCTCAGCTGGTCATCATGAGTGTCCAGGTCACCCTGCTGCTTCTCTTCGTCCTCCTGGTCTTCAAGGTGCGTGTCCGCCCTCCCCGTCTCTCGCGCCCCGTGCCCACGCCACACCCTTCTCGCCCCACGCTTCTGAGAAACAGGAAGAATTCTCTGAAGTGTAGTGAGCGTAACAAGAGCTGGGTCCAGCTGTTCACCGTGCACTGCCAGCCAGAGCCTGACATCGCAGCACGTGAAACTCTAGCTCTGTCTTCCACAGCCACCACTTTTCTGCCAAGTAATCTGTTAGTTACTTGAAATGTTATGTTAATTATACATTCATTATTACAGTCCTTTTTTTCAGCCCAGCACTAAATAGGTAGTAAAAACCACCTAGCTTACTCAGAATGTAACACACTCATAGAGTGTATTTCCATCCCTATATCATCCCACTGAAACCGACTTGTACAAAAACATGCATCTACAGTTTATCTGTAGCAGATATGCATCCTTAATGTAATCATTTATGACTAATTTGTTACTTAAGGGATGACCCACGCAAAGTGATTCTGGAGTTTTGAGTAGCTGAACTTCCTTATTACCATCTTTAACCTGTCATACACAAAATCCACTAAAGGTATAGAACCTTTGTTTTTTCCTTAAAGAAATGGTCATGCAACTTTAGTGCATTTTTATTTTGTTCCATTTTTTGTTTGTATTTTTTAGAAAGCACTTTTAAAATTCCAAAGTGAGCAGTGAAAAGAAAAAATACAGTAACAATGTAACAGAAATGAGATATTGCAGAACTTCTTAAACCTGCTGTTCAAGAGCTTTGACTGTGTGTAACGTTGGCATCTTTTCCACTGGTTTTCACTTTTTATCTGGCTGTGATGTATTTACACGGTAGGGCTGCCTGAACGCAGGCAGGAAAGGTACGCACACCTGTTTCTGCTCCTCACACAGGAAGCGGCTGTGGTCGCCAGTCTACCCTGACAGCAGCACGGCTGTGATAGGCCGTCTGTGGTTCAGCAGATCCAACACACTCTGCTGTTCTTTATGCAGGCACGCTTTCACAACAGCGCTAATAAACATTGAGGAATCAGCTTTCACTTGTCTGGCCCTGAATGCTAATTGACCTGTTCGCTCACATACAGCCCTGTACTGAAACTCTGAAACACACAGACTGGCAGCTCACAGAAGAGGGAGAATTTGACCCTTTCCGTTCCAGTTGTTGACACAGTTATTATCAGTGTTGCCCTCCAGCACTAAGGACAGAACCACCCTGTCTCTCAGGCAGTAATTTAAGAAGAGGTGGCTTCACCTTTCTTGCAGTTAGCTCTCGTTTCGTTCAGGCCCCACACAGGCAGAGCCCTGTGTTACTATCCGCCTGCCCTGTGGCTGACCTTGTAACCTTGAGATGGGCCCTGGATGATATATCTCATTTCAGTTCCACGCAGCACCCCGAGCCCCACCTTGCCGACAGAGGACAAATAACATGGTCCAGACCCCTCTGGGACTAATCTGCAGCATCTAACACCCCGGTGAAAATGAACAGCACTGCAGCATGCCTCTGGCCCTCTGCTGTGCACTGCCCTTTGCGGCAAATTAATTGAACATTATCGCAGGCCCGGTGATTGATTTTCTTTAGCAGTTAGCGCCTCTGGAATTACTGTTGAGTCATTTACTTTCCCCATCAGGTTCACCAGCGCCTTTTATTGCGCTGCTTTAAAATTCAACGTGGACAAACCAGGGGGAGAGAGGAGCAACCTTGCAGAGGGCCATCAGCTGAGTCCAGGCCTCTGAATTTCAGATTGCACTGCTGGTCTAATTGAATAGAAAACAAATGACACCTTACGAGGAAGGTGACAAGGGCAAGGTGTTGTCACATAGATTTTATTTATCTTTGGCTTGAGTTTGTAAGAATAAAGGAAGGAAACAAAAAACACACTATTGCCAGGAATTTGTCCTCAATTTTTTTTAATGATAATGCCATTAGGCAATTAAGAGCCAAAGTATTTGACATTAAATCAATTCATTTATATTGTGAAAAAATAGTATTTCTCTGAAACCATAAGGAGTAGGGCCAGTGAAATTTGCTTAGCTATTGTCTGGAGATTAATAAGTTGCATGATATTAATACTTTAGTGAAAATAGGCAATTATTTTAATAATGGCTGTAGCATAGGAGGGTCATATTTTTAAAGGATCTGTTCATGTTTTATATAACATTCCATCTTTGGCTTGTGTGCTAGGTACTGTTTTCTTTAAGGACACTTTTAAGGGCTCTGGCAGAACTTCCTAGTTCTGAGACATGCCTATTGCTCTTCATTTCAGTTCCAATGACAAATTATTATGAAAAAACTGTTGTCCTCAGAGGTATATGGATATACTATGGTAGCTTAGGTTCATCAGCAAAACATAAGTTTAGGGAATGAAAATTTCAATGATAATTTCTTTATAACACTTAATAGATTAACAGAATGTGACTTAAGTATTAATAAACTGATAGCAGCTAACCCTTACAAGAGATAAATTTCATGTTTTTTAAATGAATAAATTAATTTTAACTGAACAATATAAGATTGTTCTCATACACAGATGCTTTAATAATGGATACTGTACATCCGTGTTAATAATTTGTCGTCTCTTTTCCAAGATAAGACTGTGATTTTATTCAAGCCACATTGGTTTACGGGCTCATAAAGAACCTCATAAAGGTACAAATGTTTTTACAACATGGCACAGGTGTGTTGTTCTCACTCCTGGAATGTAAGCTGCAAGTCTGTGAGACACTGGACTGAGCTGATGTGCTTGTGTGCTTCGGGCCTGCTCTGTCCTAGATCCCCAATGAAGGCTCCCTGGCTCTCATTGTGATCCTCATCTTCCTCCAAGGCGTGACGGGCATTTCCTTTGGCCTCGTGATCTCCGCTGCGATTGACGACGAGCAGTCAGCCAACCAGGCCGCCCTCGGCATCTTCTACCCCAACCTCATCATAAGCGGTGGGTGAGGTCCTTCCACAGCGCCTAAGCACAGCGCCCCTGTATTGCAGCTCTGTTTGGGAATTGATGTGTAACTTTCACATTTTAATTAATTGATACACTATTACCTCTGCAGTGCAAATAAACTGAACAGTACTGTCAAGAAGACATTGTTTAACACTCAGTCAAGCCACATTTCATCATTTTCAAGGTGAAGCAGATTATGCAGTACAGTATTTTTATATATAATATATCACGTGCTCAGGTAAATTTAGCCTGCCACCTGCAAAGAATTTTACATACGGCAATTGATGTATATTTGTACATCATGCTTCACGCTCTGTTACGGCGAGTATAACGAACTCTGTGCAGGTCTCTGATGGAGTCCGAGGGGAACAGGTCAGAGGAGGGTGGGAGAGTAGTCGAGAGGTCCAGGCGTAGTCGAGTCCAGAGAGGAATGCCAGGCAAATGAATCCGAGCAGGGAAGGAAGGAAGAAGGTACAAGCTGGAAACGGGTCCGAGAGGCGGGGTCCGAGAGAGCAAGACGTCGCAGGTTGTAGGAACGAGAGCTCAGGAGGTGGAAAGATTCCTAATAGCGAGCAGTGAACAGGGTGAGCAGAGGGTTGAAATAGTGAAGGAAGGGGTGTGGTGTGGTAATTGGGTAATGGGAGTTAATTAGGGCCAGCTGCGCTCGTAACGCATGCGTTCCGCTTTAACTTAATCCTATACATACCTCAGTGCTCCACATACCTTTCAGACATACAGTACTGTATCTGGCTCCAGAAATGTTTCTGTTTTTAGAGTCTTGTTTCCACTCATAGCTCTAAGACTGGAAAAGCATGGTTTGAACTGCAAATGTTTTCACTTTTGATTTCTTTGGAAATGGAAAACAAACATGGAAATCTTTTTATTTGGATTGATTCTTGTCTAGTAATGTTTGGAATGTTTAGTGTTATGGACAATATTCATGTGATTTTGTAGCACAGTTTCCAGTGTAAAATGCTTCTTCCCTGTGGTGTTAAATATGGTAGAATTTGTCATTTGCTGTTGATATATGCAGATCAGGGAGCTATAGGCCACTGTAAGCATCCATGTAGAGTTATATGAAGGATGCAGAAGTCATATCTAGCTCTATATCAGCTGCCCCTGCCCACTCTAATACATGACTATGTAATATTGGATCAGACACATGACAGCTGATTTACTGTTCATGACATTTTCAGATTCAGTTTTTGGTTAGTGTTAGCTGTAGTTCTAACTGATACTAATTACAGGAGTAATTTTTGTAGCAATCATCAGAAAAAAAAAACTATGCACCATGGAGGTATTCTAGCGAAACATTTGGTGCATAATCCTAAAGACCTGTTAATAAAGAGGGTGATGTCAGACATAACAGATCAATAACAGGAAAGGTATGTGATGGATTTCATGTAGAGTTTGTGTTACCACAGGCTTCTTGGTGGTCTGTCCCCTGAGAGGCTGTAATAGACTGAAATTACTTAAAAACTGAAAACCCAGGCATAAAATTGCAGGCAGATGAGAAAGATGGTTAATTGTTCATTATGAGCCAGAAACAAACAACAAAAAGGATAATTATGTTGCAGCGTGTTATCAAAAGCCATTCCACCAAATTTCAGCAAATTAACCTTTAGAGGAGATGAGTAAGAGTCTCCTATTACTACGGATGAATGGTTATGGCTCCATTTTACAAGATATGTAAAATCAAGGTTAAGGGCAGAGGTAGACACGATGGGTGAAATTGTTCACCCAGGCAACAAACCCCACATTTGAGGAGGGCATAAGATTTGAAGGTCCAGGTCTGAGATCTGTTCATTGGGAGACTTGTCCTCCTGTTATCTGTTAGCTGCACAAGAAAGGGGTACCAGCCTTTAATAGTCCTCCAACAGAGTGCAAATAAAACCTCTTAAGGAAAAAGTATCCTCCCCTGAAAAATAGATAAAATGACAAAGTTCTGGGTCTGGATCATTCTCCTGAAGAAGGTTCCTCAATCCTCAACATTTGTTTTATTTTTCAGCATGCAATTCAAACCTCTGCTTATTCCCTTGCAGTCAGCAGTGTGGTGCATCTGCCCACTCTAACCTTAGATGAAACCCGAAATCTGATTTAACTACAGGGCTTTTGAGTATTTATGAGTTACTTGTGGCAGAAACTGGTATTCTGTGCTATCTGTACATAGCATTATGATCTGGTGACAGAACAGTAACTAATACCCCAATAAATGCTAGTGGGTTTTTCTTTTCTTTTTGTGTACTATAACTCCAAGAGCAGATAAAAACTGATGAAGCCATAAGCCAGTGTCACGTCCACCAGCAACCATATCCTATCCCGTAAACGACCTTTCACTGAACCAACCACAGCTATGGGTAATTCCAGCAAGCACCAGCGCACGGATCAATTATCCAATCACGACACCACACTAATAACCAAACCCTCACTACCCTCAGTTCTGTTTTCGGTATTAGCCTCTATCCTTGGAGCTCCTACCTCGCCGTTTCTATTGAGACATTCTCTTTCGGATTGAAACTCTGGTCTTGGAATATTCTACCTTTGATCCTCGACTCTAACTTCAGCCCAGCGATTTGGAGAAGTAGCCAACGATCTCCTCTCCCATTCCCCCTTTTCCCGATCTCCTGAAGCTCTCAGAAGAATGCACAGAGTCCTTCCTCTAGCTTCTGGACAGAGCATTCGTTACAGCCAGGTGTTTTTCATAGCCTTTTCTTCTCATTTATCTTGAAGATAATGGTGAAAGTTCAAGAGTTTAAATCAAACAATACATCATATATATGGGAAACAGGAAGAGCCTTTTTTATATGCAAACAGAGTTCTGGAAAATGCCTGGGAATTTGGGATGAGAAAAAGTGGAAATATTTGACACTGGAGCTAAGACAATTATTTTATGTTTTCCTTTTCACAAACAAGGCACTTTTTTGTGTTTTCATATGCAGGTATTATCTGGCCCATGGAGTGTATACCTTATCCTCTGAGATACCTGAGCATGGTCTTACCACAGACATATGCAGCCGAGGCCTTGCGCTGTATCATGTACAAAGGTAATGTATGACCTGTCTTCTTTCTCAACTGCTTTTTGAACTGGATTCATAAAATAACAACAATATTGGCCGCATCAATTATCTTGACTTTATGATCAAAGGGTTCAAACAAATTTAGGCTGCTTATGTAAGGACATCACACATCATATTATGCTGATCACTCTAGGATATGTTTCTAAATGCTTACAAACAGTTGCTTCACTGCACCGTATTAATTATTTAGTAGCACTCTTAATATTTAAGGCCCCTATTTAAAGGGATGTTTTTTTCTTCCTAGCTTAATTGGTGCTGACAGAGCTCTGAGAGTCATTGTTAATGTCATAGAGCCATCAATAACATTGCACATGGAGGAAGTCGAATGAAAGAGCAACTGGGAGCACAGATAACAGTGCACTGCTGATGAAAGGCAAAAGAGAAAACATTTTCTAAGGGGTCAAATTGACAATGACCACTTGAAACTGGGAATACAGACCTGCTAAAAAGAATTCTAAGATGGTTCATAAATTCTCATACAGTGCTTGCAGTACACCAGCTGCAACAAAGCTAACCTTATCTTGTTACGTTCTGACATTGAATGCTGTTTTTTAGGGTGGGATTTGACCGCAATGATGGTGTGGAGAGGTTTTGCAGTCACCCTGGGCTGGAACACTTTCTTCTTAATCCTTGCCACGGTCATACTGAAGATGAGGATGTAGTCAGTCCAGGGAGTCCTGGGTATGGACAAGAAACCCTCACAGATCCTGAGCTGGGGATGACCCCTCCAGTCCCACTGAGCTGCATCTCTGACTATCCAGATACAGGTGATTTCTGACTGATAGGTGTTACTGGAATGTCAGCACACTGTATGTCTGTCTCAGGAGTTATCACCCGGAGTGATTATTTTTTGGGACACTTTCTTATATGTGTTAAAACACCAGCGGTATTTTTCTGCAAGCGAGAACACAAATTCGTTGTAAATTGAAGTATTCAAAAGATCAGTTTATCTGATCAATAATGTTGGCTTCAGCTCAGATGCCCACTTTTCATTCCATCGAGATATCCAATATACAGTAAACCCTTTTTGAACTGGATAAGTCAATTGAGAACAAATGTTCACGTTGTGTTGTGCTTTGCCTGCTGTTCAGTAGAAATTGGAATGCTGTTTTATCACAGCTTAAAGCAGACAGTGTGCTTAGAGCTCACGTTTTTGTGGTTTCCTTGCTATGTTTGACTTTGTGCTGTCTCTGTTGTGTACAGTCAGCCTGTCCAACTGACATCAGAGAGGCTGGGCATTCCAGATCATTAGGCTTCTTTGTTTGGCTTCGCAGCAACAGAAGCACTGATGGGCTTATCAATATCTGGAAATAGCAAGAGTAATAAATGGACATCTTAGACTCCTAACATTATGTTAAACAATTAAGAAAAGGATCAGTATTGGGGAATCTCTCTGCCTAGGAATAATGTACCTTTAAATGAACTACTGTACAGAAGAATGGTGCTATATGAGCGTATTACTGGAATGGTGTGTGAAGACCACTGTGAAACCAGATTGACAAATGGGAAATACAAAAGTGAATTTTTACTCTTACATTTTTTATTTTGTGATAATTGTACAATATCAATACCAAATGATCTGTGTTTTTCTAAAAGAAAATAATCAACTGAAATGCTTACTAAGGACTTAGGAATTGTTTCAGTAATTCCAATATAGGAAGCTCTAGCAATAAATGCCACAAGTAGAAGATTTAATGTATACTTACTTTTTAAGTCCAGTAACCATACTCCACAAGAACTGCTGATTTTTATAAAAATGTTTGGGAGTCTCACTGATACATTCTCAAAGATAAATGTTTGTCCACATGAACACAGATTAACGTGAAACATTGCAAATCTTGTTTTATGGCAAATAAAGTTTAACCAAGAGTGATATGATTGACAGGAAGGAAGACATCCTAAACCAGAAGAGGGTCAGAGTTTAGAAATGACTCTTTTTGTTCCTCCCACTCTGGAGTGAACCCAGTAAGCTTAAAATAGCCAGCTTATAATATTAAGGTACAAACAGAAATAGAGAAGAAACAAAGAATTGTCTGGATTTTGAATAAACAGAAAACTGGCCTGTTGAAATGACAAGAGAAAAAGTGTTCTTTAGAAGGAGCTGTGAAACAAGCACAGACACATAATTAGGCAATTTTGTTGTCAGACACCAATTAATTTATGATACATCCTTTGTCTCCAAAACACAGTTTTACAACCCTTTTATTGTCCTGTTCCACTTGTTATCAAATATGCCTAGAAGAGACGATACCTAGAGTGTGAACTACTTTCTAACATCTCATTAGTGTAATAAGCATTTAAGTGTTGGCAGCTGCCCATCGTTTGTTTTCTTGGACATTTATTTTCATTCCTCATATTGACAAGACTAAAATCCGTCTACTTCACCATAGTTCTGAAAGAAGCAGAAGATTGTTTTTTTAAACGATGCCATGCCACGACGGTTTCCCAGTGTAGCGTTGTGCACAAGAAGAGCACTGTGTATGTTTGTCTAGGTTGCAGTAGCCTGCCGATGTTGGGGAACCCATTTTACTACCTCTGATAAGCAGACCTACTGAACATGTCCTTACTTGTTTGAAACTATTATAGAACCGCACTTTGTGTTATTTAATTAAATCCTTTTGAGACATCACTGCATTTTGTCGTGCTTTCCTTTAAAGCCTTCAGAAAGGTATAGTATTCCTTGGTGACAGAGAGCTTTGTTTTTGTTTTTCTCATGACAGAGAAATTCAGGTGCCTAACAGAGTTCAGTACATTAAGGAATAAACTGTGCCTACAGCTAGTTGACCTCTTAATATACAATCTTAAAGAGGACAAGCATTGATTATCAGCCTTTATATAAAAGGTGTTATATTCTTTTCCTGGAAACAAAGGTATTGGGTTTCCCGGTTTTCAAGTACCGGTGATTCCTTTGGAAAAGAAGGATGTCTTCAGTTTCACACTGGAGGCCGAGAGGAAAGCTCCTGAGATTCCTGCAGGGCAGACAGAGACACCGCTGCAGACATTGGGGGTGGGGGCTGGGAAATTTCTCCTGGAGGCAGACAGGAACTTGTCCCACAGAGGCCGAGAATCACTCAGCTGGGCAATTGCTTTTAAGCATGCAGCTCTGTTTGTCTGCTGTCAACTGCTGAGCTACAGCACACAGCAGAGATGCACAACAATGGCAGGAAGGAAGTCCTGATGTGCTCTGAATGCTGTATGCTATGAGGGTCCTGTCCTGGCGGAGCAAGGTATTAGCGGTGAGCAGAAAAACGAGCACAAATGTTTTGGAAGACCGGTATTTCTACTGCAGTATAATTGCTTTTGTGTACCTGTGTCCTCAAGCTGTTACCATTTTTCTAGTATAAAAAATCCTAGGTTTCTGCATCCATGGTTCTTATATAAAGGGGACTGCCTTTGCTACTGATAAGTCAGCAGAAATTTACAATTGATGGAAGTTACATTCTTGTCACCCTGAAATATATAATGGTTAGGGCCAAGGATAATGCTGTCTGCATGGCTCTCTGCTCCTCTCTGTAAATCACAGTAGTCTCGCTGGTGACCAAAATATTTTTTATCCTTTTACCAACTGGCAAAAAAATTGAAGCAGAGATCACAGTACAAACACGTCTGATTTCCTGTGTACCGTATAACATGTTGAGAGACTACAGCATGAAGCAAACGGTGATTCCTTAAGTTCCCTTGATTTGCCCTATGAAACAGAAGTCACTTGTAGTCAATTGGAGGAAAAAATCAACTTTATCAATGGTTACCTGAAGATCAATGGAATAAATATGTTCGAATTTCTGCTTAATGAGATTAATTACCTAAATATTCATTTGCGGTTTGAGACAGCAGACATCACTGATGCTCTGGGCTAAAGTACACAAACACAGGACACAGTCTGCATTGCTGCCTTCTCCACAGCCTTGTCTTATCGGTAACTCAAAAGGCTTCCCTGGGAATTTATGTTATGCAATATCAGCAGAGAAGCTGCTTTTGTGTGTGACAAAAATAACAGACTAAGCAGGACTCAATGTGAATATATTCCTCCCGCTTTGTTTTCTCAAGGGGGCTGTGATGTTGACCACGGATCTGCAGTGATAAGACACCCAAGAATGACATTTACAATACCAGAGCAGCAGCAGTGGGGGAACAAAGGCCTCTTTACAACACATCTGGGCTTCCCAGAGTTCTCTTGGCCCTTGTAAACTGGCACCTGCTGAGCCCAGGGGGACGTGTTCATCACTGACAGTGGCTGACGTCTGACACAGACCCAGGTCAGCACAGCTCACACTGCGGAGCACATACAGTACAGTAGGAACTCCACCAAAAACAAAGCCCCATGCACTCTTCTCTCCCAGCTCCTTCCTGCTGTCTCATCTTAGCTTATTAGAGCAGGGATTTGCATATCAAACAGCCTTTAGCATGGGCAACATTGCTTTCATACTTTGTAGGCCAACATGGCAATCTAAAGTGCATTTAGGGTAAGCAAAACAACAGTGATAGTAAAACCAACAGTAGTAACGGTCCCTGCCGCGCTGTTTCAAAGAGGCTCTGCTGCTCCTTCTAACACAACCTCTACATTGGTTGCATGCCAGATAGCAATGTCAGATCCTTCCAGGCGCTGCTTGTGGTGCCCTTCCAAAAAACTTTCTCCAGAAGAGGGGCACAGCTCATCATTCCTAGCAAGAGGCAAGATTCAATCCTGGTGACAGTACTCTTCAGAGTGCAAGCACTGTGCAAGCAGTTGACTGCAGGTGTCCCTTTGCTAGCTGTCTGCTGCAGCGAGAGCAAAAGGCATATCCTACTTATTCTACAATTTTAATTCAAACTCCCCTCTCTGTAACAGCCTAATAATAGCTGAAAACCTCTGATGACAGTCAAGGCTAATCAAAGGTAGCTGGTGCTTACTAAATCGCAAGTGGATAGAAAATAATGTAACTGTTAACTTTTCAAACCCCATTTGGAGCGCAATGGCAAGTTCTTTGGTATAAACAGCAGATGTATAAGATTAACTTAGAAAGGGGAGACTGGAAAAGAGTGTGCTGAATGGTACACAAAATTGTGAGTTAGGTATGTAGCACATAAATACCACAGTAGCATTTACAGTCTCCCAAATAATGCTTGTGTGATTTGTAAATGTCTGGAAATGTTCTGACAATTATTTCTGCTTTGGCAACACTAATTCACCAGTCGTGCCAATAAAGCTCTCTGAATTTGAATTAGCACTCATGAAAAGCACAGTATCTAAGTCCTTTATGCTTTTGATTATCCCCAGAACAGTAGGTTTACCTACTGTCAGTTATAAAATGTGGATCAAAGATGAATAATACATTGTTTTAATTTTCTGCTGAAACAAACGTCCTCTTTTTCTTCAGAGTCCTGTCTGAGCATGTCTTGGACATGAACACTAAACACTGTGTTTATTGGAGGGGGGGGGTATTTTTGTAATATACAAGTCCTTCTGCCCTTTCTAAATACTCTCCAGACACCAGTGACTCTTGGTATGATTAGAATTCAGAGGGTCGCGATTTTCTCCTGGATCTTTTCTGCGAATTCACTTTCTCAGAATGGCAGTGCCCAACAAATTGCAGTGGAGAAAGGGAAGTGATCATGCCACAAATGACAGTGCTGGCCTGCTTAATTACATATGAAATGTTTAGAAATACTCTGTGTCTCATTTGCCAAAGTCTCCCGACAGATATCTTGAGGTAATTGCTGAGCCAAATGACTTTGTCGTTTAATGGCAGGAATTCCAATCCTTGTTCCCAGTGTCACTTTTTTCAAATTCATTATTTGTCTATTCAAATCTAAATACGCGAAATAGGTTCAGAAAGCCACGGAGTTTCTTATCTGAAAATGAAAGACACAGGACGAACAGAGAGAAGCAAGTTTTTAATTCCCAAAAGTGTACGCTGCAGAACATGCTTTGCCTTTAATTTTTTCCAGCTGTATGTTCAGCAAAAAAAAATGTTAGTACAAATAAGGAGTGAAGGCCGGCACTGGACACATATAAAACGGTATGGGAAACAGATATTCTCTGACACAACACAAGTGTATGCCTATGGAATTCAGCCAATAGTTCTTTGTTCCTTGCAAGTTTGTGATATTTAAAACATTCTGTAAACATATCTGTGTACTTGGATACTGTCTCCATGACAGCCTGACAACAGCAGACGGCTGACTTCCAAACACTGCAGTAGGGAAATTTAATATTTGGTTTAGCACTAGTACTAAATTTTTATTATGTAATCCCATGGCACAAAATCACAAGCAGGCTTAACGGCATCCTCAGTCAGACATTATATTCTTACCAAAGTTAGGCATTATGCAACACAAGAATCTGTACAGGAGTACTGTTGCTATGTTGGGGTTTTTTACTGCAACAACATAAAGACTCCCTGTTTTAGATTTCATCACAAGGTGCTTGCATGAGTGTTGTACTGCTAGGCATGATGAGCAGGACTTGAACTGGTCACGTTCTCGCTCAAATCTGAACATCTGAAACAATCAATATTCTCCTATGAGGAAATGTGCTTACTACTGTGATCTAAACATATACAATGGAGTTTCTAGCAATCCTTATCCATTACAGTTGCAATCCTTAGTCTTGAGTTTAGAGAAAGGAAATATCCTGACCTATGGATTTTCTCAGTAGAAAATCTGGAAGTATGAAGTAAAACGTTGTACTAAACCAAGAAACATTTTAAACTTCTCAAAATAAAAATCTACACGTAAAGCTAAAAATCCAAACAAGTATAAAATTAGCTATCACAGACACAATATTTACATTCAATCACTCAAAGTCTAATTTCATAAATCTCTTCTCAGTGAAATTGCTGGACATGAAAAAAAGAGTTCAAATGCGATATACTGTACGAAAAACAACTGTAGAAAATACTGTAATGGTAATGCTGTTTACTCTGTTTATTGCTCTTTAATAATTCTGAGATAAGGGCCCTCTTGCAGTTACAAAGGAATTGCCTTAGACTTCTTTAGAATTACTTTATCGGAAGCTAAAAATGTTGTATTACCAGCCCCTGGAACTCAGAACTCTTTGACTGAAATCTTACACAATAACAGATATAGTTCACTTGTCTTTCAGTTCTGATGATTTGCATGTCAGCAAGGTCAATAAGGCAAAGCAACAGGGTTAGAAAAGTCACATGATTGAAGAATTACAAGTTTTCATACCTAGGTGCAGAAGCAGTTTATCATTTCTCGACAATGCCCCATCCAATATATCCAGTACAGAAAGATGCAATAGGGTGCACCTTTGTCTTTTCAATTTTTTATTTTATTTTTTAATATTTTTTATAGTGACACTAATAAAAAAACATTCTTTACTAGCCAGTGATTAGCAAGCATGATGCACATGCATAACGGTTTTGTTTTGTTTTTTGCAATTTTAGAGATAGTTAAAGGATGGAAAAATGTGAAAATGTCTCTCAGTAGGAAAAAAATAAGAATTATGTTACGGTATAATATTCTGTTTATCACTATTGAGACATATTTAAATGAATAACTCTCTTTGCTGTTTGTCATGTATTGCACAATTCGGCTTTTCCAAATGTAAATCATTACAATCGCTCAACAGTGTGACTTCCACCTTGATCAGGGAGCAAGTGTCTGAGTTAATGATCTGAGGCTGATGGCTGAATATCTGAATTGAAAGAGCGTGAGGGAAATAGCAAACAGTTGAGTGGACAGCTATAATTTAATGCACACGTAAAGCGGTCATAAAGCACAGATCTGGAAAGGGCACGGAGGAGTCAAGGAACTAGTTTGCAGAATAATAAAAAACCCAGATGTTTCCTTCAACTGCTCCTGACACGCATTTCAGAAAGCGCTCATGGTGTTTCAGGGATGCAAATATATAAAAATAAAAAAGCACATTCAAGGAGTGGAGTTACATTTCATTTTATACTGTATTTTGTTCAACATACTACATTCTTGCATATGTTAAACAATAATGCGTTACCATGAAAAATAGATGTGAAATCAAATGTGGGCCTATTAGATGATTTTCTGAGATCAGTAACAGGACTTGATTCATATCCCACCACTCAATGATGTCCTCACAGTGAAGAAAATGTAAGTTTTTTTTTCCTCTGGAACAAATGTGTTTAAAACAAGCCTTAATGTGAAGAGGCTGTTAGCAGTATTCTTCCTGTTTTGGGGGGGCCCAGGTTGGGAGTAGGGGTGTCTGCTTCATTTGCAGCCAGTTATCGGGCTCACAAAGGTCAAGGCAAGGTCAGACTTCCTCTCCCTCATTCCACCGGAGAGGAAAAGGGCCGGCACCGAACACACGTTCAAGGTATCTAATAAATTCAGCCCAATCGATTCTCCATTTGCAGGCGTTCGTGCTGGTCCTGCCCTCCTCTGTCCCAGTCTCCTGTCACTGCTCACCAGGCAGTGGGAGTGGAGTGGTAGGTGAGCGTGGTGACTAAATGTTTTCAAGGATGCAAGAGCCACCCTCCATGACAGCATCAGTTAAAAAAAGCATGAATTTGCACCTTTTTTTTCTGAGCGCTTGCTATTTTTGTATAAGAAGGTGTTGATATCAGCACATATCAGCAAAACTACATCTGCCTTCTGAATTATCTTTTTTTTTTACAACTACTCTGTGTTACATTCTTTTCATCAACATCCGCCTGGCTTATTAGCTGATAGGCTGGTTTTCTAACTGCAAAACACTAAAGAACTGGAAACGTCTGTATTTTTTGATAGCCTTGACCACAGAGCTTTTTTTTTAAAGAATGTTCCCATCTTAAGAACTGTGATAGTGCTGTCTTCCTTTTAAGGTTAGGTAAACTGGACACTGTATCACCATACGCATATTTCGAAAGCCCCAGAGAATTAAAAAGCAGTGTAACAAGGGTCACAGACGTCATCTTGTAATAGCTGACAGAAAATGTCAAAGCCATCTCATTTTGCTATTAAAGCCTCAAATGAACATCTTGCTCTTGGCAAAAAAAAGTGCAGCAATTTTACTGCAACCTGTGCATGTATTTTGATTTAATTGATAGAACAAATTATGGATTATAATGTGCAACTGTGCTCTTATCAATAATACATTTCTTTCATTTTGATGTATTCTGTAAAAGCTGGTGTGGAATTTAGTCTTCCCAAAACGCTAGTATGAGAGAGATTTAGTACAAATTGGTGTTTGTCACTTCATAGCTTTGTTGATGATGAACGACCCTGGCTGTAAGAGTTGGGCGTTACCCATGTGTCCTGGTTAAATTCTACTCTGGTTTAGCACAATATAGCTCCCCATTCATTCAACTGATGAAGTAAATTCCTGCCTCTCCACCCGATCTGCTGTTTCTTGTCGCCCAGGTGGGGGCTGCATTTCAGTGGTGGGTGAAGTGGGACCCCTCCTATATGTAATAAACCATCACGTAATATCCTTCAGGACAAAAAGCACAATACAAATGCCAGAAATTATTATTTTTATTAAATAAATAAATTAAAGGTGCATACAGTTTTTCCCAATATTTTTTATACGTTGCAATATTTTTTTAAATATATCAAATTATATTGCAATATTCTGCAATAAAAAGACATCTCAACAGGCAATGTATGTGTACTTTGTTATGGATGTAATACATATGCTTTACATAAATATTTCTGTAAAGACAACAACATGCAAAGATAATTTTTAAATGTGTATTACATATCTATAAACAGAAATGAACATAATATGCATATATTAGTACGTAATAAGATATTAAAATTAACTTAATAATCTCACAGCTTCGAAATAAAATGTATACTTACTATTAATCTGAAAAACACAGAGAAATTTCCAAACTCTTCACAGGGAACGATAATGAAATCGATGCCCCTATCTTAATTCTGTGCTCCTCTCCAGGCACGCGGTCGTAAAAGTGACCTAACCAGCTGATTTCGCTTCCCGTCGAGAAGCATCATGGGTAGTGTAGTCCAATTGGCTGACTTCCTGAATTGTTTCTATGTCCCGACGAGAGAAAGCAGGTACGACTACAATTTCCACAATCCATAGCGAAGAAAATCAGTGACGCGGCAGGTATTTGTGACTCTGACCTAAAGGGGCCAGACACTGCTTATGATGGTCAGATCCGATTACCCGCACTAAGATCGTGTAATCGATCCATTATTTAAGAGCGAAAAAGAAAGAGCAGAGAGGAAAAAGACGCGCTTATAAGTTCAATGCGCCCGTTTTCGTTCCCAGCCAGCCGCGGATCTGCGCTCACTTGCCTTTGTCACAGCAAGTTGGGACGGAGTGCTTGATTGTTTTCGCCCGCTACGCACAGACTCACAGAGAAGAAGCCAGCGAGCTGTCGAGGAGCGACGAGGGAGTCACGACGCACCGCCGCTGTAAGTCCGAGAGCAAGAGCAGCAGCAGCAGCAGCAGCACGAAAGCGACTCTTTCCTTTTGTCCTTCCTGCTTCTCCTGGCACCGAGCGCCGGGCAGCCCGCTGTTAGGAGCTGCTGCTCCAGCAGTGACAGGACCGAGCGGGTCTGCGCTGTCAGTCCGCAACCCTGCCGACGGGACCGAGGCGCTTCGCCCGTCCGGCACTGGTTTCTTTTGATGCAGGGCTCCCTTGAACGCGGTCCTCACTGCTGCCCAAAGCCCGGTGACGGTTGCGTGATGTTTCCCGTAGCTCGACGGGGCTGTCCGCCTGCGAGGCGTTAAGCTGCAGAAGGTGATTTTGTTTCTTCTGCCGTACGCACAGGCGAAGGGTGAAAAAAAAACCCAAATCGCCCGTGTGTGCACTTTTCCAACATTTCCCAGTTCCCGTGCGCGGTGTGATCACGGGTGAATCGTTCACAGACCGAAGAGCGTTTTGATTTGTTTGTCTTGGCGCTTTGATTTCCATATTATTTATTTCCTTTGGCAAATGAACAGAGTCGATTAGCTTGTGGTTCACGTTGGCATTATTTACGGGGAGTGAACCATGACCGCACACTCTTCCAAGGGGAGAGAGGGGGTTTCTTAGTCCTGTACGTTGTAACGGTTCCTATTGTGGAGAGCGAACCGGTCTTTTTTTACTAGTATTTGGCTTGAAACGCTTGTACCCCCCCCTTAGAAACGAGATCTGGGAAGCGCTTATATTGCTTAATTGCTGAAAAGACACATTACACCGTGCTATTGTGTACAGCTAACTTTTTTTCTTTGTGCTCTTGCCCAAGAAGGGCAGGGTGACAGCGCAATTGTCACGTTCAGCATTCGGCACTGTAACCGAGCTTCGTTTCCGACCAGCGTTTTTTTTTGCTGTGGGTGAGCACGTCATTTGACGAAATTAGCGATTGTAAACGCTTGCTGTTAAATCTCGACGAACTGGGCGATTGTCAAGTTGTTGGGGTTTTTTTTTTTATTTTATTTTATTTTATTTCGTTCGCTCAGCTCGGCGCTGTCTCACGGCACATAGGCGCGATGCTATTGTTCCCCGAAAGGATAAACTGATTTGCATCCATCCCGGCTGGGCATCTGTGGATGTTCTTTTGTTCCGTGCCGATCGCATTTTGCCCCCCTCGCAGCAGAAGTCAGGGATCGCGGATTTCGAGTGTCTGTTCACCGCTCCTACCCAAACCTTTGATCTGGAATTATTATGCACCTTAAAGAGTCTTGAATTTTTATCTTAATCGTCAGCGCGTTGAAACTTTATTTGTTCAACAGGGGGGGGGGACCCCCACAAGGTCAGTTCATAAGGAAGCAATGGTAGTTCTTTTTTTTCTGGTCACCCCCTTACTGGAGTTGAGTGAAATCTTCGCCAGGCTGCTCTTTTGTTTGTATTTTGTGTTTGGCAGGTTATTAATAGCTGCGGTGGCACACTGGTGTTTCCATGCCAGAAATGGTCACTGGTGTTCTCTTTTATTCAGTCGCACGGGAAGACCTGAACCCCAAATAGGCCTGGATACAGCTTATGGTTTGGAAAAAAAAGTTCCCTGGGATCATTTTTCAGTGGCGACAGTTTATTCGTGTCCATTTGTTCGCAGAAGGAGGGTGTGTTAGATGGCCGATTAGGGATCCACACAAATGGACGCCGGTGGGGTGTTGGCCAGGAGGGAGTTGCACGAGGGTATCAGGTTGTCGCAGTTGAAGCGTCGCCATCAGATTGCTGAGGGCAGACTTGAAATCGCCAACTAATAATACTTCCTGGGACTGTGGTGTCAAGATTTAGAGCGCTTAAGCCGTGTGTTAGATTGAGAGGCGCCTCAAAGTAGGGCGTCGCGTGACTGGCGGGAGAACCTGGGAGTCCTGGAGCGGCCCGAGATGACCCCGCCGGGCGAGGGAGTCGCAGAGAGAGAGAGAGAGATAGAGGGGTTCAGGGGTGCAGAAGGGGTTCCTGCAGGCCCCATCTCCGCTCGTCCAGATGGCCACGTGCTGTCAGCTGTGCCGAAAGGAGACGCGTCACACGCGGGCACTCGCGAGGAGAGGAGGTTGTAGGGCAGAGCAGTGCCTAAGGGGACACATGGAGGTGGGTTTCCTTGTTCCCCACGGTCTGGCCTGAGCAGGACTGCAGTGACAATGAAGCAAAAGCTCAGGGCAGTTGTTATACCAGCAGGGGCAGTGGCTGTGCTGTAAGGACAGAGCAGTCACTGGGTCTGGGCTGCCGTCTCGTGTGTGTCTGTGTGTGTCTGTGTGTGTCTGTGTGTGTCTGTGTGTGTCTGTGTGTGTCTGTGTGTGTCTGTTGCACTCAGTCTGCCCTAAGCGAAGGAGTTCAGCAGATACTTCCAGGAAGAGATCACCCCTGTACGCTGCCTCTCGCACAGGGGTTCTGAAGAGCCGTACTTTAGTGCAGTGGCTCTGCCACGAGTTGGCTGCCAAAGCAGATAGCCTCGCAGAACCAATGCTCGTGTCAAAAAGCACGAGGACAGAAGCAGTGGCATTAGCTCATTAGCTAGGGTTCCGTCTCTCCCATGTGCTGCATGCAGGTTTGCTAATCGGACACGATCTGTATCAGCTGTTACACAAGCTCTGGCAGTTTGGATACATTTCAAATAGTTTCTATAGTGCATCCCTTTTTTAAACAAATACACATTCCAGGTAATAGGTACGTGCCTACAGTTGCATAACCATAATGGGCATTGCTTTAAACACCTGGCGGTTCATAGTTTTTCCTTAGCTGTGTAAAAAGCAAGTACAGTGTATAGAATTAAATGCATAGACAACGTAATGATCATTGTTAAAGAGTCCTGCATATGATCATATTGGATATTGGATCTCACTGAAATGTCTAGCGAGGGTAGACTCAATTTCATTTTTCCCCTATGTGTTGTAGATATGAATGTGTAGGTTTAGAGTTTAAAAAAACAAGTATGTTGCAGATGTGTGCCTGCAGGCTACTGATTAGTCTGAGGATAATGTAAGGGCAGATCACATTTAGTTTTGCCAAGGGTTGGAGAAACTTAATATCTGTATGCCTGGACCACAGGGGATAGAAATTCTTCTGTAGAGTAAAATCTGAAGTTTTTGTGTCTTGCAGCCAAGTGCGTAGGAAGAGAAAACATAAACCTAGAACGATTCCTCTTGCTTATCCAGTCGGGTCGGAAAGCTGGTTCTGAATGAGTACGCTTGTCGTGTCTCTGATCTTGCCTGCTGCCCATGCGCTGGTGCTGCTGGTGTGCTGCCGACGACTGTCCAGTTTGTTAACTGGCTGTGCTCGAGGACCTTGAGGCACATCGGGGTGGCTGCCTCACAGCTCTTGTCTTTGGGGCATCCTGTTCTGCGTGTAACCCACCTCTCCTGAGTTGGGATGTGGCTTGCTGTGACCCCATATGGATCTAAGTGTTTTAATGAAAACGGATGGACGTAAGTCAATCCTGATATTCCATTTACTGGCCTTTTGTACCCGTTGCATATCCTGGTTCTCTAATTCCGAAATTTGACTTGGGTAATGTGCTAGTTTCCCCTTCCAGCAAGAACAGGTTCTAAAACGTCTCCTCTGTGCACTATCTGATATCAACGTCACTTGTGAATGTCGTTCAGCCACAGTGGTGAAGCAGCATCACTGCTTCATCTTTTTGATTTTTTTTAAAAATAAACTTAAGGTAGGTTCATCAGTCAGGATTGAAGGAAGAAGCCCACACATCTGGGTTTCCCTAGCAGAGGGGCTCTGTTCCCTGGATGCTGATTCACAAAGGAGTTTTATTACCACGCTCTGTGATGTCACTGCCCTCCCTCCCCCTTCTTTCACAAAACCCCTCCAGGATGCACTCCAACGTCAGGTTTGGGAATTTTATGATGACGTATTTCCTGCGTAATCTGTGGGATGTTGTCTTGCCTGCTTTACAGTAAAAATATGCTTTCTGGAGCTGTGAGTTAACCCCAGGGGCAGTACACAAAGACACAGGCAGAACGGGACGCATTGCTGACATGGTCTGTACAAATTGGCCTACCTTCTCAGACTAGTTTTATGTTTTGTTTTTAGAGAACTCTTTAATGCAGAGTTTCTCTTGTCCACTGTGTGTTTTTCATTAAGAAACCAATGTCTTCTGGCCCCGTTCCTAGACTGTCATCTCCACAGTATCTGAAGAAATCAAGTTGCTTTGTTTTTCCAGAGCATCAGAAAAACACTCCCTCCACAAGTACTTCTGGTCATGTCTTTTATTCCGAATGGAATTCCTGGTAATTTTGTTTTCTGTGAGAAGATATGGAGTCAATTATCCAACCACAGGAGCATCACAATTCACCCTGCAGCCCTGCACATCTCTATGATGTACTTTTAGTTAAAGCGAAGCCTTCATTGCACTATATGTGTGTGGCTGAAACCATCAAAGGACGGAAAGCCTATGTCTTGTTCTGTGTTTGCCTCTGTTACTCCTCTTAGACCTCTTTATGAAAAAGACAGCTTAACATAATTCTTTGCAAGTGCATGTGCTGTCATTTTTTCTCGTATCCCTGGTGTGCAGTGCTTTGTACAAGCCTTCGACACCAGAACTGGGAAATACGGTCAAGTTTGTGAGGAACACGCTTGCTTGTGAAAAGTAGGTCAGACTGCGAGTTTGTTAACACTCACTGCAGTTTTCAGCGGAAAAAATGTCACTTCTTTCATAAAAGGTAGTTTCTGTTTCTTTTATCGCAGAACTTGCTTCCATGCACACAGAATCGTTCAAATGTACTCACCTAGAAGTAAGAGGCTGTATGGGATCCATAAGTAAATTAAACAGCTGCCTGAATAGTTTGTTTTTTAACATTAAAATATTCTAAAGTTGTGCCCTTCACTGAGAAAAACTGCAGTATTTGGATGCTCAGCAGTCTAGCTTGCACCCTTAGTATGTCAGTAAATTCGTTTATATTTATTAAATATTGAGCTTAATTGTTGCAAAGAAAAGGCTATTTGGAGTGGAAATTCCAACAACGCTAAGTCTGT